AATGATAATAAAATTTTTAACCGATTTGTTACGTTAAAAATATTTTCGGGTTCCTAGTCTCACATCTCACAAATTTAGGATTACCAGAAGTCCTCTTTGAAATGTCCTAAAATATGTCTGATATCTATTTTCATTACTTTAATTTGTACTCTTTTTTAAAATAAAATTATTTTTTATACATATTACAAGAAAAGTATTTTCACAATTGCCTATATCATAAGTTGCGTTTGTTTATATATTTTTCATCGTGTTTCCTCATCATATACTTTTCTGAATTCGTTGAGCTTGATTATAAACAACTTATTATCACTCAAGAATAAGATGACTTTTTTATTTCCTAATGTCCAACGATTTCTTAAAATTTAAGAATAAGAAACTTTAAAATCAAATTTTTTCAATAACAACCTACCAATTATTAGAAAATTTTTGAAATGGTTATTAAAATGATTTCTCAAAAAATTTTCCTATGGTACATCTTCATGAAATTTTAATTTGAAATTTTTACATTCCATTTAACCCATCTGGGTGAAACAAACATCAAATTTTTTTTAAATAAGGCTTACAATTGTCATTTATCTGTATATCTTCACCGAAGTTTTATTTTAACATGTTAGAAATACTTATTTTAGTCCATTTACATAAAAAAACTTAAATAATATTGACAATTTTCACTTATCTATGATACATCTTCATGAGATTTTAATTTAACATGTTTAGAATCTATATTTTTATCCATTTGCGTCAAAAAACTTAAAAAAAACGATTATGACAATTGTCACTTATCTGTGGTATATCTTCACTAAATTTTTATTTTACATGTTAGCAATACTTATTATTTACATCAAAATACTTAAATAACGATTATGATAATTGTCACTTTTCTATGATACATCTTCATGAAATTTTAATTTAACATATTTACAGTGTTATGATGATTTAATGAAACATACGATTAAATTAAAACCCATCTATATAAAATTATAATCTTTGCAAAAATAATTAAAATAACAAAAGGAATAATAAAAGAAATTTCAATAATGCTTGTCTATATTTTAATTATTTTTGCAAAGATTATAATTTTGTATAGATGGGTTTTAAATTAATCGTCAATATGTTTCATTAAATCATCACAGCACTGTACAATCTATAATTTTACCCATTTGCGTCACAAATATTCAAAAAACTTAAAAAATAACTAATATTTATATGGAAGGCACTGTCGTTTACTCTTTATTTTATTTTTCATTTATCTAACACTAAAAAAATTATATCTTTTTACAACTCCATATATATAATATTCTTTTAATAACATTTACATTATGTACAATTTAAGGTTAGCTAAGAAAAGTTATTTTAACAAGTTTTTACATATCAAAAAAAGAAAAATTCAATAAGTTTTTAAAGGTCATATAAATATATTTCAAAAAAAGAAAAAATACGAAAAGGTCGTCTGAATATTTTTATCATTCGAAATATATATTTAACAATAACGATTATGGCAATTGCCACTTATCTGTGGTATATCTTCACTTAATTTTTAATTTAACATGTTAGCAATACTTATTTTAGCCCATTTTCGTCAAAAAACCTTAATAACGATTATGACAATTGTCACTTTTTTTATGATAATCTTTCATGAAATTTTTATTTAACATGTTTACAATCTATATTTTTACCCATTTGCGTCAAAAAACTTTAAAAATAACGATTATGACAATTGTCACTTATCTGTGGACTAAATTTTTATTTTAACATGTTAGCAATACTTATTATTTACATCAAAAAACTTAAATAACGATTATGACAATTGTCACTTATCTATGATACATTATCATGAGATTTTAATTTAACATATCTACAGTCTTTATTTTTACCCATTTGCGTCAAAAAAACTTAAAAAATAACGATTATGACAATTATCACTTATCTATGGTATATATTCACTAAATTTTTAATTTAACATGTTAGCAATATTTTAACCCATTTAAATCAAAAAACTTAAATAACGATTATGACAATTGTCACTTTTCTATGATGCATCTTCATGAAATTTTAATTTAACATGTTAGCATTACTTATTTTAGCCCATTTACGTCAAAAAACTTAAATAATGATTATGACAATTGTCACTTTTCTATGATACAACTTCATGAAATTTTAATTTAACAGCAATACTTATTTTAGCCCATTTACGTCAAAAAAACCTAAATAACGATTATGACAATTGTCACTTATCTGTGCAACATCTTCACCAAATTTTTAACTTAACATGTTGTCAATACTTATTTTTGCCTATTGGGCCAAAAAAATTTAAAAATAACAATTATAATTGTAATTTATCTATGGTACATCTTCACTAAATTTTTAATTTAACATGTTAGCAATACTTATTTTTGCGCATTTGCGTAAATAAAATTCCAAAAACTTTAAAAATAACGAATGACAAATGTCACTTTTATATAGTACATCTTAATTAAAATTATAATTTAACATGTTAAAAATACATATTTTAGCCCATTTACGTCAAAAAAACTTTAAAAATATCTATTTGTCACTTATCGATGGTACATCCTCACTAAATTTTTAATTCAACATGTCAGCAATACTTATTTTGACCATTTGCATCAAAAAACTTTAAAAATAACGATTATGACAATTGTCACTTTTATATAATACAATAAATTGAAATTCTAATTTAACATGTTAAAAAAATATATTTTGCCAATTAGAGTCAAAAAATCTAATATGTTTAAAAATACCGATTATGATAATTGTCATTGTTCCAAGGAGCATCTTCATTGAATTAATAATTTAACATCATTACTATGGCTGTGCCGATATTAAATATCGGATCGGCACCGATATTTAGAGTTTTCCAAAAATATAAAAAACCGATTTAATCTTTTTACTTTTCTTTTTTTTGTTATTATAAGTTAGTATCTTTATTTTACATTATAATATTTTCTAAATAATTTTTTTTAAACAATGCTACAAATGCACAACACCCTCTAAATTTTATTTCTTTTTTAAAATAGATTTATAGTATTTTAAAAGTTTTTTATAAAAATAGAAAGGTTTATCTTCATTTAACATTATTATAATATTTTCCAAATAATTTTTTTTAAACAATGCAACAAATGCACAATACCCTCTAAATTTATTTCTTTTTTAATAGATTTATAGTATTATAAAAGTTTTTTTTATAAAAATAGAAAGGAACACCTAAACTTTTATTTATTTTAAATCTTTAATAATAACGCCAATTTTATTATTTATCCTTTAAATAAAAGAATTTTTTAAATATTGTTATGAATTATGTAAATATTTTACAAAAGACAAGGCGTTATCTGCGGAAACATCTGAGTCTTATTTCAGTACGACATGGGATATAGATAGTCCATATCGTAGAAGCTTTTTGCGAGAAAATCTTGAGGCTCTCATATTTATTTAAAAAAAATCTATATTATAATTTTATATATTAAATATTACAATTTTAAAATTCATACCAACATAAAATGGATATATTATTAAATATATATTTTTTTTAATTACTTAATTGTAGAAATAAAAAAAATTAAATGAAATGCATAATTATTTTTTGCATAAAATTATTGATTTCTTTACATTCGGTTCAATGGGGATTGGTGAAAAATCAGTATAAATATCGGATCGGTTTTGAAGCAATATCAGAAAATATTGGATCGGCACAACCCTTATCTTTACAATATAAATTATATTTTTACCGGCTTGTGTCAAAAAATTTCAAAAATGTTAAAAAATAACGCATATGACAATTGTCACAATACTATCTTAAAAAACATGTAAAATAACATAAAAAAGTTTAATATAAATATCAAAAAATAATAATTTAGAAAAAACCACTTCATTTAATATACTTAAAAAATAGATAATTTTACAAAAATGATAAAAAAAACTATAAAAGATTTCATCTAGATTGTTTATTTATAATATAATTCACAAATGAATTCCTCAAAAAAGATTTATTTACTAAGATTTATAATTCTTATCAAGAAAATACGTTAAAAATCTTTTTGATTTTCTAAAACATTTTTGCTTAAAGTTTTGGACGTAAAAATCAATAATAAATTTAATAAAAATACATAAGCAGCATATTAATTTTTTTTATTAAAAAAAAATCAAATAAATAAATCGATTTTCGTAATGTAATATAATCATATCATATGTTTTTTTGTTGATAATAATAAAATATTTTAAGGTAATTATAAAATATTTGTCCTCTAGTTCATAACTTGAGTTCAAAAGTCGAGTCGCGACTTAGTAGTTAAGCCGACTCGGCTGAGTCATTTAATAAAACTACAGGACACTAGTGTTGTTAAACGGCTCGTTTTGAGCCGATTTTTAAAAACGGCTAACCTATTTTATCCTAAATAATATAACTCAAGCCTGAAGATTTTGTTTGTAGAAGGAACAAAGGTTTGGACATCTAGTAGCCAATCTCAAGGCTTAGGTTATATTTTTCAGGCTAAAATATTGAGTTAGACCTTTTTAAAAATCGGCTCAAAATGAGCTGTTTAACAACACTACAGGACATTAATAATTATAGATTTTTGGTAAGTGTGTAGCTGTTGAACCTATTTTATTATAAATTTTTTCTTTTATTCGAACCCTGGTGGAATCATTATTTTTTTAAATTGACCCCTTCGACGAAGTTAGGATCAAAGTTAAAAAATCACAGAATCTGGATGAGGGTTAACATAAATATATTAAAAATAATGGCTCAATAGCTACCCACTTACCAATTTTTTCCCTTCTATTAATTAACAAAATTATAGGAGTTAATTATATCATAAAAATAGTTCCTGGATTAACACAACATAACATTTATAAAAATAAAATTTATATCCCAAAATAGTAAAATAAAATCTCTTCATTTTAAAACAATAACTACTAATTATTTAATATCATGATTTTTATTCAAAAATATCAATTTGATACAATCAAGTTTGGATTATCAAGGATTGTTCAAATATAAATATTTGGAAGAAATTTAAATTAAAAATTTAACACAATCAAAAACTATAAAATAAACATTTAATTACAATATAAATTAATTACAAATATTTTAATTAATCTTGTAATTAAATATTAAAATTATAAGTAATAAAAAAATTCAAGGGAAGGAAAAAGCTCTTTTATAATTGATTCATCATTACCACATTTTGAATTTACTTTCATAAAATAATTTTTAATCTCCATTTGATTATGATCCTTAGTTTTGAATTTTTTATTAGCACCATTACTACTAATACGAGTATTTGAATGAACAACTTTAGATCTTTTTTTTTCATTTATATTGTTATCATCTTCTTCTGTATCTTCCCTTAAAAATAGATAAATACTCAAAATTTTAAATCTTGATATTATAGAAACCACATAATTTTGCAACATAAAAGATGGGAATTCAAGATATTCATGGCAGTCGACCAACTAAATCGAACAAAAGTTGGATACCCAAACACTACATCTGGATTATTTTTCATATAATTCTTAGTTAATGGATCTGATATGACGAAAACATATAATGTGATGGTAAATAAATGGAAATATATAAAATCACCTGAAGGATAACCCGAGCCATACTGTAGGGGTGTAACACTTAACTGCAAGTTATCTTCAAAAAATTTCCATTGTTGTATAATCTTGTCTCTGACAACCTAATGGAAAATTTTATAAAAAAGAATGTAAATTTAATCGATTGATCACACTTATAATATTCTAAAAATAAAAAGTGTATTATCTATTGTGTTTGTTTTTTTAGAAAATGTCAAGGAATTGACTCTAGTCTATCGAAAATTATTAGATATTCGATTCGAATAATTCACTTGATTCCTATTAATTATTTAATTACTCGATTCGATTTTCTGAAGTCTTAATCCATCTTAAGTGAAAGCGCTACGTCCAAGACGGTCTCATTCCGTTCAAGATATTCTTTGGATGCGTTCCGTTCAAGATAAACGTACTACTAAAGATGGACCGGACTTTCAAAAATTTAAATTAATTTTTATATATTTAATTTCCAAAATTGACATTAGTCTTAATATCTGCCACAATAGACCCTTAAGGGAGGGGGATGCCAGCGTTGCCCTTCCCGCCCCCCGCCAAATTTATTTTTTATTTTTATGCTCTAGTCGGCTGACTAAGTATCATGAATTCATGTTATTTTTTTCTAGCATCTTTATGCACAATTTATATAGAAGATTTTTCTGAGAATAATTTATGACGTATGGGGAATAGAATCCATGGGGTTATGGAATCTCAATTTAAATCATATACCGAGGGCGATTTTTAAGATAGAAAAACATGATTTGACCGGAAATGCATTGCACATGAAAGTATCTGGAAGAAAGCTGTCTAAGGATTTAAATATCTAACCAACGGTGAGAGGCATATTGGATTGCAGTGAACTTTTGTACTAATTTTAATTCATTTTTACATAAATAAAAAAATGTTTATGGCGAAAAATTATAACACATGCTGGAATACATTTCCAATCAAATCCTTTTTTTCAAACTTAAAATGGCTTCCAATATATGATTTAAAATTGAGATTTTAAATCCTTATGAATTTCATGGTTACATATCAATTCCGCGAAATAATATTATAGCGAATATAATCCAATGCATTATAGTGAATATAATACAGCGAAAATATTATCGCGAATACATTATAGCGAATGAATTATCGCTAATGTATTACCGCGAAGGCATTATCGCGAATACATTGCAGCAAAAGTTTTACCTAGAATGTATAGCGAATGAATTATCGAAAAATATTAAAGCGAATCTAATATCAAATGCATTAGCTCAAATGAATGATCGCGAATGCATCATCTTAAATGAATTACATCAGTTGCAATATCAGGAATGGAGTATGAAGAAAATTACAATTTTATATTTATCGGTTTTTAAACAGATTGAATTGAACCTGAAAAAAGTTAAGGTTGGGCTTGGGTCTAAAACATTTTTTTTGAAAATAGGGCTAAGGCATTTTGTTGTTGACTCTTTTTACAGTAGGAAGCAAGGCCCTGTAAAATAATATATAGCAAAGTATTTCTCAGGAAGCGTAAGACATGAAAATCCTTATGATATGCTGGAAAATAAAAATATTGTTTAAACATGAAATTTTTTTTATTATGAAGCACTTATTTTCGGACCTACGATGATTTTGACAGAGATTGTTCCAGTCACCCCTGGTCTTCCTTGCCTATATTGTGAATTTTAGACAGTATTCAAGTGATCTTTTAACTAAACTTAATTTTGGTAAGGCGATAGTTTGATGGGTATTGTTTTATTTTTTATTACTATTTGCCTTTACAATCATTAATTGAGTGCGTTTTATTAAATTTAAAAATCTGATTTTGCCAGAAATGCACTAAGTCTAGAATATCCACCCTTAATGTTGCGTAATCGGTGAATTATAGACAATTCCAAAACAGCTTAGCTGAGTTTTTAGGTTAAAAATCGGCCAAGCCTAATTAGGCCTAGCATAAAAATAGGCGAAAACTAATTAACCAAAAATTAGTCATCGGCTAAGGAGCTCGGCTAATCGTCCGTCATTAATATATCGTTACATAATAAATATATATACAATTTTAATAAATATGAAATAATAATAATTAAGGCTTGGCTTAGTGTAGTATAACACTGACAGGTGATTAGCCGAGCTCCCATTCCCTACTTTTTGTCTAATTAGTTTTAGGCGATTTTTCGGTAAAGCCTAATTAGGTTTAGCCGTTTTGTAGGCTAATAACAACTTATAAATTTCAGACATTTTTATGACAAAAAAGAAAATTTATATTAACTTTTCCATAATTTTTCAAAATATTTTTAATGTAAATTAATTTCTTCAGAAGTTCAATATAATATCTTCTGAAATTTATAGGGTGGGTATTCTATTTTGGAATTCATTTCAGGCCAAATCAGATTTAAAATTTGATATTACGCCCTCAATTAATGATTTAAAATACAAAAAATAGAACAATATACCCATAAACTATAACTTTACCTTAATTTTTATTAATTTTATATATAGATTGTCATTATCATTATAAATTACTAAATAAAAAAAATTTTTGGCAAAATCGTATGAAATTCCAAGGATAGATTCTCTTCAGAATAGATTTGGTAAAATCAGATTTATCAGGGAAAAAACGAGCACTATAAATCAGATCAGAGACCTGCAGGCCCGGTTTTAAACCCGGCCCGGGTAGAAACCGGGCCTTATTTTAATTTTTTAAAATATACTTAGGCAGAAATTTTATTTTTTTTAAATACACGGGCCGGGTCAAAAAAATTTTTTTAAAAAATATCCGGGCCGGGCCATATACTTTAAATCACCATTATTATCTATGCAAATTAATAATATATTATTTGAAAGAAATTCGGGTAGGGCCGTGCAGATTAAAATAACGCACAAAGCACTAAATATTGATAAAATTTTCTAAAAAATTGGCGTAAGACTGGCTTTGTTGTAGTTTTTTAACTGGCTCCTCCACTAGTTAAAGCAAAGCATTAATAGAAACTGATAAAGAAGGAAACATTTTCATAATTTTAACATTACTACTTCTTGTTCAGCGTATTTTTAAAAAAATAACAACGGGAAACTAAAAAAATATTATCATATTTATTCATGAACAGCCCTCGACCGAGAAAATTAGAATTTGATCATGAGGTTTATAAAAATTTTGCTTTAAAAATATATTTATTAAAACAACAATGATACCTCTCCAGATCCCTGCTATAAATCACCTTAAATTCGCGAAACCTGAGTTGTCCAAGATTAGCTAAAAATTTATTTATCATAAAACAAATACAAATCATGATTTATATTTTTGGACAAGAAAAAACAATTTTCATTTTAAAAATTTTATAAGCTTAGCCAGTTTGGCGTTTACTGATCAAGAATTCTATCCATACCCTAGGATTACATATTTTGTGAATAATTATTGACATAAAAAGGCATAATTATAATTTGAATGAAAACTGTAGATAAAAATTTCGTTGAATAATTTATTTTAAGATTATTTTTCCCCTTTTTATTATTCAAGGATGTTCCGAGAATTTATATGAGGGCACCTGGCTAGTTTTTTTTAATAGAAAAGATTCGAAAATTTTTGTGATTTTATTTTACATCCCATTAATGGTCAAGATTTTTCTAGTGGATAAAAATGCTCAATTTTTTCAAATTATATTGATTAATGCTCAAATAAGATATTCTAAAAAAATCAGCCAAAAAAAATAATCCTAAATAGAAAATCTAGCCTGGTGCATATATGCATCGTTAACCATTAAGAGGTTAAAAAAGATTAAAATTTTATATAATACTATAAGATCAAAAAACAACAAAAATCTTTATTCATTTTTTGTAATTTATAATAAAAAACAAGAAAATGCTTATATATTATGTAAATTCTTGAAACATTTAATATGAAGTGCGATTTGACATGTTTGGCACATATATCTTGAGTGCGAATGGCAATATCTGCATCTTCATTTTTTTCCATCTATAATTTTGAATAAATAATGTCCAGATGAATCAGTTGAGTTTTCACTCTGTAATTCAAACTGGTTGGCGTGCCCTGTACTTAAATTTTTTTCAATTTTTACTGGTGTTCGAAGTAGGTAGTTAGTAATTTCTCGTCTAAATGTAAGCAAACTCTTCTTGTCATCTCGATTCAAAAATTTCCAGATTTTCCACAAATTTACCAAAGCTGCATCGATAAAATTGATGAATATTGGCTTTCTCTTATTCTTATTCTATAAGTAGATATGAGATTATCACACAGATCAACTCCATCCATGTGTTTGTTATAAGCAGTTATCATATTTGGCTTAGGAATTTTTATTTTAGAAGATATTTTCTTGGAATATCTTAAAACATTAGAAAGCAAAGAGATAGTGTGGCATGTGGATGCAACGGTCACCACCCAATTATCATTCTAACGAACTACAAATATTTCGTTTAATTTTTCAAACCTATAATTATAATATCCTCTTTCTTTTTTTTGCTACAACCTTTATAGATTCAACTGGGCAATGCTCTATTCTATTGTCCCTCACAGTTCCAGTTGCAAAATATCCCATTTGTTTTAAGTATGACAAGAGTTTAAATGATGTAAAGAAATTATCGAAATATATTTTATGGTAATTTGGTTTTTGCAATGCCTTTAATAATTTTATGATTACATTTCCACCTAATCCATATTCATATTTATTTTCGCTTTTTCCTTGATATATATCAAATGAGAATACGTAACCGTCGGAAGAAGCCAATATCCAAGACTTGTATCCGAATCTAATTGGTTTTCTTTTTATGAACATTTTGCAAGAATGTCTTCCTCTATATGGTATCATCTGTTCATCTATTGATAAATGATGTTTGAAAATTCCGAATTGCTGAAATTTATTATTCAATATATTAATGTAAGGCCTAACTTTATAAAATCTATCATGTATATCTATTTTAGTATTGTCTGCCAAATGGATATTATATTTCAAATTTCGAAATTGTAATTGGGTCATTGTATCCTGGATTATTGGAATAGAAATATCGCTATCATTAGACCAGTACATTCTTTCTTGTGGGAGAGAATGATATCCAGTAAATAATAGAATTCCAATAAATCTCTGAATATCTTGGATGGTTATGCATATGT